GACACTCCCGTTGAATGCCGATGTCCTGGAACAGTCTGGACAAGTAGGTATATATTTCGGACCTCCGGACAATGGTAGGCGACTCTGCATACTAAAGATACTAGAGGAATCGTAAAGGCCTTCTCCCTTATGAAGTATGATCATACTACTGGACTAAGTATTCTCTTGAATTCACGTTATTATAGCCCCTCTGGTTCTGTCAGGTCCTAACTTTTAGGAATGTTAAAGAACATCGGAGAAACTTTGTCTAGGTAATTAACAACTTGATAAAACAAGAGGATAGTGAACAGATGCAGAGCAATTCACATGTTGTAGACGCCTTCGTCAAGTTTGGAGGACGTAGATCTATCAAATAAGGACAGAACGCGTGTCACTTGAAGACCTTTCTAGGCTAAAAGTCGCCTAAATTCTGGATATTTGGGTCTGGAATTTCCTCTTGACGACACTTATTGATGAACCTTGTGGCTCTACTCTTCTGAGTGGGTTAAAAGTGTTTCGGTAGCCCACAGTCAACATTGTTTCCGGGGATTAATGAATGCACCTAAGGGAATTTATTCTTTCATAAAAATCACTGGTAGAAATCAGATTTTACTAATAAAATTGCTTTTTGAGAACATGTAATTTTTTTACGTTTCCTATAAAATGTAATTGCATAATTCAAAAGGCGAGTTGTGCGAGTGTACTTATACTTTCAATAAATTTTTGTCAGGCCCATTCATTTATATGGAAACGGGTGCAAGTTCAAACGTGTTCGTCTTTTCGGACAAGTGAGTCGTGGGAGTGGGGGTGAGGGTGGGTTCAATAAGTGGAGGCCGTTAATAAGGGCAGAGTTGGATGGAGCAGTCTAGGGGAGGCGGGAGCGAGGGGAGAGGAGAGTGAGGTAGAGGGGGGCCAACAGATCGTGGATGACTGCATGTCGCTAAGTGACTAAGGGCCACGACAGCTGCGGAGCTTGTAGGAAGTTCCTTTTCGAACAAAGCCGTAAAGAAGATCTTTCAAAAGCAGGCATCCTCCTGCGCCTGACATGTTTCGGACTTATGCTAGAAGTGAAATTCCACTTAAGTTATCATTCTTCTCTGAAACGCAATTAACATTTTGGTAAACACTGAACGGTCAGATCTGTATACTATGGCATGGATTCACAGACTTGCAATCTGACGGTTCTAGGGGCAATTGCAAAGAACAATGCGGCATTAATTTCTGTCATGCTCCAACCCTAGACTCAGAAGCTCTGAGATTCTAGCTTGTATTAAGTTAGCCGTAGAGCCACGCACAGAGCGTGTCGGCTGCGTTTTGGCAATTGCAGTTTCAGATGTACATATGTGAAATTTCGCATTTCTTCCTAACACATTAGA